ACTAGAAAGCAAAACTGAAAATGAAAGACTCCAGGATTCACTTAAATTTCCGTGCCCTTCAAAGCTCTTTTGCTGTTACTATGAAGGCAGAATTTCTTGACCCATGGAGTGTTCACCAGCCAGCTCCAGGACATGCTGCTGACTGTCCCCCACAGCCCCTGCTTGCTAGTTAAAATGGTCATTTGGAGCCTCAACAGCCCTGGCAAAAACACTTGTACAAGTCACAGAGGTACCTCTGTATATCAAATCCATAAATAAGTTAACTGGCCACATGTTACATATATTGTTATATCAATTAATGTGATTTTCATGTATATCAAAGTGGCCAACATGGCCATGACAGCCATGGCTAATGCTGAATAAGCCAGCTACTAGAAGGGTAAACAAAAGCACAAAAAAATCCCTTGACTCTGTACCAGAATTATCAGTGTTTGTAATTTTTAAAAAAAGAGTTGACTTCCAGAGACAAACTGAGACCAGAAGAAAAAGCTCCAGCACTTGGCTGGGATGTCCATTGGGGTAGGTGTCTCAGTGAGAGCAGAAGAAAGGAGGCATTACTCACAGCTACAGCCTGGAAGTGGAGGCTGCACACTTCAGTGCCTGACAGCAACTGCTGGGGACACAAGAGATGGCACTCATGGCTGAGGTGCAAACACACTTGGTGGCTCCATCCTGGAGACTGGACTTAAGTCCATTCCAGTTTAAAGTTGATAAAATAAGTCACTGGCTCCTTTAAGAGGTTAACCTAGTGAATGCTTTTTCAGGAAAAAAAAAAAAAAAAAAAGCTAAAAAGTCCTGTGGTATCTTCTCCATCTTCCAAGAAAGGTGTGCAAGTCGAGTACCCCTCCAGAGGCACAAATACAATGGCCAAACTGCCACCAATTACTTTGTGAAATTATTTTGTGTGCGTGGTATTTCTTTGTTTTTAAGAACAGCAGAGCAGCTCATAATCAAATCAGCTACTCAGGGGTCATTTTCTTCATGTTTTGACACTCTACCTGGCTCCTCCATCTTGAAAAATTATTAAATTGCCAAGTTCTGTGTACAGGAATTAGAGCTCTCAGGAGACAAGCAAAAGCCAAGCTTGCAACCCTCCTGACAGAGGATTATATGACCATCTTTTTCTTAAGGAGGGGGAGGAAAAAAAAAAAAGTCTCAAGAGTTTTAGGGAAATAGGATCAACACTAAAAGTGCTGCATAAATTTAAGGTAAAACTGTTAGGAGTCAATTTTACCTGTTACATTTTTGATTCCATGGCTAATTAAAAGGGATACTGAAGGAAATACACATTTTTTTTTTTTCCCTTCCAATTCTTTAGTCCTCCCTTTTAACCATCACTTCACTACATTAAACATAAAAAAAAATATATATAATTAAGAAATCCCTAAGTGTGGGATGAGAATGGTGGATGAGAAAAATCCCTAAGTGTGTATGAGCATGGGCTCATACAGCTGATTTCAAATCTGGCAAATGGGAATTGTGCCACTGCCTGAAGCTACTGCCTCCACCTCCCTACCCAAAGCAGGTGATGTCTGAATGGAGGACTCAAATGTGCTGCAAGGTCTACCAGCCATGGCTTCAAAATCCAGCTCACAGACCCAAACACAGAAGTCATGTGAAAGTCAAGATTTGATAAGTGTCTTTCCTGGCCTTTGATCAGCCAGTAAAATATTAAAAATAACCCAAATGCTCACAAAAATGCCAACTTTTAATATCTCACTCAAACTGCATCTATATTTGGAACAAGTTCGTGGTGTGCTTTTTTTAAATCTGATTTTGTTCTTCAATTGTTTATGCAAATCAAGTAGAGGAGCTGAATGAAGCAGCTGCTTCATAGCAAGGATAACAGTACAAAGGGAGAGCTGGGAGACTCAAGTGACAAACTGACACTGGAAATACTGACGGCTGCCGAATGCAGACACGGAAAATACCGACGGCCTCCGAAAGGAAGAACAGAAGCCAGTCAGTAGGAGACCAGTTTTTGTTGATATTCCTCTTTCAGATGTCTACAAATCAAGTCAATCCCAAGTAAAACATGACTTCCTGACATGAAAAGATAAAGCCCATGCTGACTACGGATAAAAATCTCATCTCATCAGGACAAAAATCATGATAAACTGTTTACTGAGCTGCTGGGAAGCTCTGGTCAGTCCTGCAGTCTCTGGAACACAGGAATATCAAGCTGTCTTTTATCAACAGCTCCTTCATATACCCCACACTAACAAACACGTTTCACAAGCCCTGAGCTTGTGAGCCCTGAGCTCCATTAAAAAATAGGACTCTGAAATGAGGACAAATGCAAATGGACCAAGTGACACCAAGGCACATGGCAGGTTCTCCTCCCAAAGTCCAGGATGTCAGTCTGTTGACAGGTCACACTCCCAACCCAAACACCAGGCCTGTGAGTATCCTCAGTGAAGTGCACAGAGCTTGAGGTCAAGCAGAGCAACCTGGGGAACTACAAAGGGCACAGATTGTACTACAGCAGCATGAAAACATGCTACGTGCAATTCCTGATTGTCTACCAGCCTTGGAATCCTTCAGAAAAGTTCTACAGTCTATGCCAAGGAGGCACAGAAGACAAAATTCTGTGGAGCAACTGGGCTGAAGAGCTACAGGCAGGTGCCAAAGAGGTTATTAACCCACATCCACTCCAGATTCTTGTCAGCACACTTCACACCCAATTCTCCCAGGTGCTGAAAGCCTCAGTCAAGGGCATTCAACTAAAGCTGAAAACTGTTCACTCTGTTGTGGCCACAGCCTCATCTAGAGTGATGCTACTGCAGCAGGGAAGTGGAAAACAGAACATTCAAGATTAAGAAACCCAGGGATTGAGAGTGCCTACAAGAGACTAGAGACTAATCACTTCATCAGAATTGCAACAACAAGGCCACAAAAATACAGGAAGGTTCAAAACATGTCAGGCCAAACATGTCATTTGGGATGGACTACTGCTAAACACTCATTAGGTGGCACATAACCCTAAACAGCAGCAGGTTATTTGGAATGGCATCAGCAAGTGGACAGCCTGGAGAACTCTGCTGGCCAACCTCTCACAGGGTGGGGAAAAAACAAACCAAGGAGAAAAA